CCTCTATCCTTATATGTCTTGTTATTGTTGCATGAAGGTCATCCCATGAAAAACCAGTGTGCCTCCCACCTGTCCTTCACAGAATCAGGGTTTACAATAACTTCAGCATATTCAATGAAGTAGAAGTCAATGCAAAATTGTTATTTAAAAACATGTATGCGCTAAAAGTTTTTACACACCCCAGATACTTTGGTGGCCTCTAACATGGATTTTTTTAATAGCATTAAGGGACACATTTGAATGGCTTTAAATAGACTGAAGTTATTTTTTAAAATCTACATATTCTGCTGGATCGTGCGAGATTTTTTTTTTTCAGTTTTGGTTGATTTTATAAGGATTGAACCGATGTTTATGAGACTTTATGGGAACTTAACTTTGTCTCCTCTCAGGTGTGTGGTCCAACAATTCCAAGGGACTGCAAAAGTATCACCATGTACAACGGTGTGTGTTTTCACATGGACCGATCTAATACATTTGGACCACCTGTACCTTCTTCTCCAGACGGTAACAATAAATGGAGTTTGTGAAAATGTGTCCTTAATAATTAGAGTGCCTCCTTAATAAAAATCTCTTGCATTTTTACTTGAACATAGTCTTACAATCATTTATATTTGTGCTTGTATAATCTCAAATCAACTGAAACTGTCTCAAGACTTCTCTTATATATTCCAGCAATTAAGGGTTAATCAGAAACAGTAAATAGAAAATTATGTTTGTGTGAGATGTGATTACTCATAGATGAATATAAGTATAAGCCAGATGGCGCGTATGGCAGCCTCGCTTCTGTCAGTCTACCCAGGGCAGCTGTGGCTACAACTGTAGCTGCCTCCACCAGTGTATGAATGTGAGAGTGAATGAATAGTGGTATTGTAAAGCGCTTTGGGTGCCTTGAAAAGCGCTATATAAATCCAATTATTATTATTATTATTATTATTATTATTATTATTATTATTATTATTATTATAAGTTGTATGATTTGTTGATTATTTTTTGTTTGTTTACAGTTTTCCCCTCTAAGCCTTATTTCAGATTGTCTGTTTGGATTAATTGTATTATAGTTTTATCCAAAGAGCTTTTCTGGACTAATTTGTCCTGAATCCATCAACACTGAAACAAATGCTGGTAAAATTTGAGCTAGCCAAGATTAAATCTACAGCATAAAAATGTATTTAATTCTAATGCTATCAGAACTTTTTTTGAGATGGTCTCTTCAATTATTCAGAATGAAATAACCATATCTGCATGTAAAATGAAAGTGTTATTTGAAAAACAAATACAAAAACACCCCCTTTGATTTCAAATTCATTACAAAAAGGAAACTAAGCCTGGTTGTTTGGGTTATGCAATGCATGACAAAATGCAAGAAGACTAGTACATACACACAAGATCTTTGGGGGAAAAAATTAAAAGGAGACAGAGAAGTTTACTTCCCTCTAAAGCTACTTACGACTTCTTTAAAGCTCTGTATGCAAATAAGTAATGTATTATGGTTTTCCTGGAGAAAATAATTTGTGTTGTTGTGTGTTACATCACGATGTATTCCTGTTACATAAGAACAACGTAAACATGAGGCTACTGTCGCTCACAGTAACACAAATTCCAACCGTAACAAGAACATACAGTACAGAGGGTCTTTCTTTTAGTGTTGTAAGTTTGAACACAATGCTCTATACACTCAGCTTTAACATCATTCTGGGTTGATTCAAAGCGTTGTGTTAGCATGCTGTCTGTACAGATGTTTGCAAACATCTGATGTTGTGTTAGCAGTTTAATGCAGCTGTTTATGTCCTGGATGGGGTTTCCATGTTACCATCATGCTCGTGTCCCTTCATGGTCAAAAAAATAAATAAATAAAAAAAATAAAATAAAAGTATTGTCCAAATCTCCACCATTTTCCTCTTCCCTGCACAAACCATTGTTTCTATGACTGTAATACAGGAAGAAAATTAAAGTAATTAGAACTGAATGCAAAAATCAAGGCTACAAATAACTAAATTAGTTTAATAACAAAATTAGGCTTCTGTAAGCAGTTTTAAGACTCATTTAAACTAATTTAATATCTTAATCTTAATTTCTTCTTTTCTTTCTTCTTATAAAAGACTAATTGTCTAAATATGTGGGTATTCATAGTCGATTTGCTAAAATGTTAAAATTAACCTAAAATAATCAATTTCAATTCATTTATTTGATAGTGTGCCCGACACAAGTAGACATTGCTTTTCTGTTGGATGGGTCAGGCAGCGTATCTGTCTCTGATTTTCAAACAATGACGACGTTTGTGGAAGATCTAATCCAGGCATTTCTGTCAGTTGATGCACAGGTAAGACACTGTACTACCTGTCAGTTATATCGTATTACAGACACAAATAGTTTCACCTGCTTTTCATTTATCTCCATAAAAAAAGGCTATTTTATATTTTTTTTATATTGTTTCTCCCTTTCTTCAGTTTTCTGTTTCCCAGTTTTCCTCGTTACCTCGGGTTCATTTTTATTTCAAGAAATTTTCCTCATCTGGATCACTAAAGACTGAAATCGATGGAATCACACAGCTGGAGGGATCTACTTACACAGCTAAGGCCATCAGACATGTTGTGTAAGGGTTGCAATGATATTACTGAAGCACTACAGTTAAATCATCTGGACAGACTTCCTGTGCAGATAATTTTCTTTTGAGACTGACCACACTAAAAACTGTATTGACTGATGAAGAATTGCATTAACTAGATTTGCAAAATACTAAAATGTCATGAGCGATAATACAAAACAAGATGGATGCATGCAAAATAATAATCATTCATGCAATTTACTCTATGATCAAAATGTGCACAGTAAAAACATGTTTTATGTTGAAATTAGATTTGTTTATTTTTAATTTGACAGAAACAATGTTTTCACACCACAAAGAGGTTCCAGACCAGATGTGAAGAAAGTCTTGATAGTAATTACTGATGGACAATCTAATGACCGGTATGACCTGGGAAATGCAGCACAGCAAGCAGGGAATCAAAACATTGTTCGATTTGCTATTGGGGTAAGTACCTCCATTATTTAAACCTGCATAATGTTTAAAATTTATACTAATAATGTGTTTTGGTTATTTATTAGACTACAGTCACATGATCCTACAGTATATGGAGCAAAGTAATGAGCCACCTACACAGAAACCATGGAAACCCGGGCCATACCATCACACTGTTTTCACACTATTGTTAATGTTAATTTCTCCTCTATTGGAGAAATTAACATTAATAATAGTTAATCTGTTAAATCCAGAATTGAATTCAAAATCCTGCTCCTCACATACAAGGTCTTAAATAATCAGGCCCCATCTTATCTTAATGACCTTGTAGTACCATATCACCCTATTAGAGCACTTCGCTCTCGCATCTGCAGGCCTACTTGTTGTTCCTAGAGTATTTAAAAGTAGAATGGGAGGGAGAGCCTTCAGTTTTCAGGCCCCTCTTCTGTGGAACCAGCTTCCAGTTTGGATTCAGGAGACAGACACTATCTCTACTTTCAAGATTAGGCTTAAAACTTTCCTTTTTGCTAAAGCATATAGTTAGGGCTGGACTCAGGTGACCCTGAATCCTCCCTTAGTTATGCTGCAATAGATGTAGGCTGCTGGGGGATTCCCATGATGCATTGATTATTTTCCTTTCAGTCACCTTTCTCACTCACTATGTGTTAATAGACCTCTCTGCATCTGCATGGCAGATAGCCTTCCCTCTTTGAACCTGGCTCTGCTGGAGGTTTCTTCCTGTTAAAAGGGAGTTTTTCCTTTCCAAAGTGCTTGCTCATCGGGGGCCATATGTGTGTTGGTTTTTTCTCTGTATGTATTATTGTAGGGTCTTCCTTACAATATAAAGCGCCTTGAGGCGATGGCTGTTATAATTTGGCGCTGCATAAATAAAATTAAACTGAATTGAACTGGACGAGGAGCTGCATTTACACTCCCAGCATTTACAGCTGATCATTGAATATGCAGGAGTGGTATCTAATTAAAGTACCATGCTCAAATTTCAATAAATAAAAAAAGCTAAATTAATAATGGAAACATAGACTGTATTAATCTTTGTATTAAACTGCATTAAAGTTTTAATAAAATCAGATAAATAATTTTGCATTAAATGTAAACACATGTTTTAAACAACCCTAGGTGGGGAATGCATTTATTCAGACTGAAGCAAAAAAAGAACTACGCACCATTGCATCGTCTCCCTCAGACAATCACGTGTTTCAAGTGCAGAACTTCAACGCACTTGAAATAATCCGGCAGAGTTTGCAGGACAAAATTTTTTCCATTGAAGGTAAATTATATATTTAACATTTAGCAAGCTTTGATAAAATTTCTGTAAATGTTACATTGCATTATTGTATCATTGCTTGAGGCTAAAGGTCGATTTCACGAAGTATTGGTGAAATGAAAAATAACTACTGAGGCACCTTTATAATAAACAGATATCATTACACTAAATTACTAGTGTAATGCGTTGCGTTGTGTCTATAAATAAACCTTTTTATATTTTATATTTTTACAGGATCTCAAACCGGTGGAGTCTCTCTGAAAATGGAAATGTCTCAAGAGGGATTCAGTGCAGTTTATGTGCCCGAGGTAATTAAAACTACCTGAAACTCACCAGACAGTCTAGTCATGAGAAAGAGAGATTCAAACACTTTTTATAAAAACAAGAGTCCAGATTTTAAAGGTAAAATAAATTGTATATAAAATGTATTTCCTGTCTGCACTGTAGGGAATTCAGATGTCTATTGTTGGTGCAAACCAGTGGAAGGGAGGCTACGTGCAATACACAACTAGGAGGCCAGAAGCTGAAAACATATGAGGATGTGTCTTTGGAGCCTGACAGTTATCTTGGTAAGAATATTACAGCTTTAACAATCTAACTTTACACTGTGTAATCATGTATATATCACAGCTCTGCTGTAATTCTTTCACACAAATACATATATCAGATTTTATATCTATCTTCTCTTTTTGCCTACCTAAATTCTAGGTTACTCCATGGCAACTGCTAAAACCCAAAGTGGTTCCCTGACAATTGTTGGTGCTCCAAGATATAAACACAGAGGAGCTGTGGTCGCTGTTAACAGAGAAAGCTTTGAAAACCAAAAGATTGAGCCGTTGGCATCACAGGTATGTATTTACAGCAAGACCAAACTGAATGGGATTATTAACTGGTAGTAAATACTTTCTTAAATCAAATTGTTGTCTTGGCTTTATGCGACTATTTTCATAAATAATGTGTTTCTTACACAGTATCAGACTGGTGAATATTTCGGGGCAGAGGTGTGTACCATGGACATAAATAATGATGATATCACTGATCTAATCTTCATATCAGCCCCAATGTACATGGAGCCTGATAGAGAGGGAAGAGTTTATGTTTGCAGACTAACTGGTTTGGTAAATCAAAGTTTTATCCACTTCAATTAAATGAATTAGTTTATTTGTCAACTTCCCTAATGATCATATAATATTCACTCTCCTGCTTTTAGTTTGTAGAGTGTAATTTTGATGATCCGTTAATACTAAGAGGACGTGCAGCTGTCAAAGGAAGGTTCGGCTCTTCTCTTGCTGTGCTGCCTGATCTAAACTCAGATGGATTCAGGGATTTGGCAGTTGGAGCACCTTTGGAAATATAATGGTGAAGGCAGCATCTACATATTCCAATGTTGCTCCTCAGTGTTTTTAACAAAGTTCTCATAGTGTCTGCAGTTCAGTAACTCACCACAGTGTTTTGTGTCGCGGGATCACTTTTCATTGTCAGACCAAGAGACATGTTTACTGCAAAATCGGGTGCTGTATTGAAAGTGTATTGAAAATTTAAATACTAATAAAAGGCAATTGAAAGGAAAAAAACAAGACTTAAATCGATGACTGCAAAGAACCATGACTGAAACACTTCCCCATTTGATATGACAAGTGTTAGACATCGAAACTTCTCTCCACTGTAAACCAGGATGTATAACAGGCAGCTTTAATATCAATGCAAATAGGATTCAGTTTCACTATTGCTTCATTTTAAAGTTTTAAATAATTACAAAAGAAACATTGTAACAATAACATTATTAATAACATTGACTTCTTTGCTTATTTTACTTCATCAAGTTTCAGTGTTACTTACTAAGATATTTACTTATTGTGATTTGAGTTAAACAAGTTTCTGTGCTAGCGTCTGTGGGGAATTTCTTTGATGTCAACATGGTTTCTGTCAGAGTTTCATCACATTTGGTTACCTACCATCAATTTGGATATTTTGGCAGTTTGGGGAAGATGTGGTGCAGCTATATACTTTTCCTCTTCCATTTTGTGAATACTGTTCAAGGGGAGCACTGACGAGCAAACTGAGGAAATAAATTCAGACAATGATGAAGTCTAGAGTGCAAACTGTGGTTAAATAAACCCCATGTGTTTCCTGTTAAGAAGTATTATATCCTTGTCTGTTTTTTACTGTGGGCCTTAACAGAAATGATTGTTAAACCTGCAGTTATAGATCGACATCCAACATAACAATGTATGTTGTGACTTACTCTGATTGTCTTTGAACCACCTGGTACCCAAAACCAGCAGCAGAGTTATTCAGGGCCTTCCATGCCACGGGATCAATATTGAAACAAAGTGCAGCATTTAACACTGAGAATTCAAGAAGAAGGAAGAACATCTGTAATTTTATTTAAAGCCACTGTAAAGGATGATAACATGGTTATATTATCTCTAATTCTAATCACATATGAGGAACTCCATACAGTGTATGTGTTACTTTGATTCCACCTCTTGAATCCAGTCACAGCTTTCCACAGTTACCACTAGAGAGCATCAAAGTCAGATACTAGATTTGAACATACTGGCAGGTAACTGGCAGTAGATCTAAGTGCACGATACTACGATAACACTTTGAATATACTGCCTAGGTAATCATTCACGTGTGTGACAAAATCGATCACTAGTAGATTTTTACTAGACTGATAGTATCTAGTTTGGGTTTGATTCTTATTCTATTGCTAGCAAAAGGATTTCCTTTACGGTTCTCTAATCTTGTGTCTCTCAAGGCAACAATATGCTCATTCTATAAAACGTATTACATAGGAAAAGATGCTGTTGCTATCTAAGTATGAAAAACTATTAATATACTGTAACATTTGCTTATTTTGCAGTACTAAAAATTGAATTGTGTAGAAAATTTTACTGGTGTGCATATTCCTCTTTCCTCTTAAACTGTTTGTCAGATTCATCAATACGTGCCACACCCATTCTATGATCCATGCTATGATTACTGTCCAGTAAAAATCGTGTATTGTTGCAATCCTACAGCTGTCCGGTTGTTTATTTTTGCCACACAAATAAAGCCTTCCTTTTATGGACATGCTAAGAGTAGTGTCAGGCGTTGTGTGGAGGCGAGGAGGAAGGAACCCAAATGCAGGACTCGCAGGTAGGTGAAGACTGGTGAAGGTTTATTATAAGGAGTGGATGAACAGAACAGAGGTAGAAAATGGCCGGCTGGCTGGCTGGCTGGCTGGCTGGCTGGACGACTGAATGGCTGGCTGACTTAACTTAACTGAACTGAACGACATCATCAATGACACGACAGTGAATGGGTAGAAACAGAGGGCTTAAATACACAGACTGGTGATAATGATAATGAGAGACCGGTGAGTACACAGCTGAACATAATGAACTAATGGGAAGAGGACTGAACATAACGCACACAGACCAAGGCTAACACAATAAAACAGGAAGTGGAACAGGCAGTAGATAAACAGTGAACAGAACTGAAAATACTGGGTCACCGACCCAGGAACCCTGACAAGTAGTCAAAACGTCACATAGTGCTAACACTTTTTTGTTTCCTGCTTCATGTCACAGCATTCAACAATGACAGTGTCATGATTTCAAAGTTTTGCGAAACCTATTTTGAAATACATTTCGTAACAGTGGTACGCCCTCAAGTTCTGCTTTTCCTTATTGTCACATGTTTTGATATTTTCAACATCAGTTAAAGAAAAAATGTACTTCTCCACTTGTTTGCTTTTTTTCATATGTGCATTTATATATTTCAGGTGTATTTTTATCTGAATATATACTAGTGTTCAATTAAAAAATAAAATAAAATAAAACAAGCATTAAAATATAAAAATAAAGAATTTAAAAAATAACCACCTGTAGCAAAGGTGAGTGCAGGGTCATGAATACGTTGGATGGATGAAGTATGACGTCACAGTGGTGTAAAATGTTCTGTTTTTTGTAGCCCTGCACAAGGTAGTAAGGCAGATATGATAAATTTATTATCTATGTATCTTAAATCCATTTTTACCATTTTCTAATGGTTTATAATCAAGCGTTTAGTTGGTTTCAGTAAAACTATTTATGAAAGACTTTTTCAATCAGTGAATTTCAACAACAAAAAAATTATGCTATTTACAGCTACAAGCTAACTGAGCTAATCACACATTTAATTTGTGTTAGCAGAGGCTAAAATGTAAATACAGTAATGACCATCACTAAAGTATTTCTGGATATTATTTCACTAAATGATTTATAGTCCATGTTAGTTTTGGATACTACAGTTTTTCTTATTAAGAATGCTGTCTTAGCTAATTTGCCAATCTCTCAACCTTCCTTTCATATCAAACATCCTTGAAAGAGTAGTTGTCAAACAGCTAACAGATCATCTGCAGAGGAATGGCTTATTTGAAGAGTTTCAGTCAGGTTTCAGAGCTCATCACAGCACAGAAACAGCTTTAGTGAAGGTTACAGATGATCTTCTTATAGCCTCTGACAGTGGACTCATCTCTCAAAACTAGTTCATGCATTTATTACTTCTAGGCTGGACTACTGTAATTCATTATTATCAGGAAGTCCTAAAAAAGCCTTCAGTTAATCCAAAATGCTGCAGCAAGAGTCCTGACAGGGACTAGAAAGAGAGAGCATATTTCTCCTGTCTATTGGCAGATTCCACATTCAATATAGTTATCCTGTTAAATCCAGAATTGAATTCAAAATCCTGCTCCTCACATACAAGGTCTTAAATAATCAGGCCCCATCTTATCTTAATGACCTTGTAGTACCATATCACCCTATTAGAGCACTTCGCTCTCGCTACTGCAGGCCTACTTGTTGTTCCTAGAGTATTTAAAAGTAGAATGGGAGGGAGAGCCTTCAGTTTTCAGGCCCCTCTTCTGTGGAACCAGCTTCCAGTTTGGATTCAGGAGACAGACACTATCTCTACTTTTCAAGATTAGGCTTAAAACTTTCCTTTTTGCTAAAGCATATAGTTAGGGCTGGACCAGGTGACCCTGAATCCTCCCTTAGTTATGCTGCAATAGACTGTAGGCTGCTGGGGATTCCCATGATGCATTGAGTTTTTCCTTTCTTCAGTCACCTTTCTCACTCACTATGTGTTAATAGACCTCTCTGCATCTGCACTGGCACATAGCCGTCCCATATTTGCACACATTTATTATTACTAGAGATGGACCGATCCGATATTACGTATCGGTATCGGTCCGATACTGACCTAAATTACTGGATCGGATATCGGAGAGAAATACAAAATGTAATCCGATCCGAAGTATCACAAAATCACCTCACAAAACGCGCTACTTGGCGTAACCCAGCTCGGCGCATTGGAGCGGTATGTGTTAGTGATAGAGCACTGAAGTCTGCCAGACCTTTCCATTTCATCTTGGCGAAAACTATCCCAGAGAAGTAAAGCAAGTGTGTAAGTTCATCCCTGAATGTTTGCATAGTATTTCCACGTTAAGCTTAACAACTGATATATTGAGCCACAGCTGGACTGGCCATCAGAGTTCCATATTGAGGTGAAAAGGAAGCGATTTGTCCCGTACTCAGCTAGAATTAAAAAATAGACACAAAGCTGGAGTTATTCTGTCTTTGCTGCGCAGTTGCATCTACTTCTCTCATTCACTCCCCCTCCCTCTCCTGTTATTACTTCAAACATGAAACTGATCAATGATCAGCTGATCGGCTTTTCTGCGCAAGTCCCGTCTTTCTTGTTTGTTTATCGCCCACTTTGCGCTCAACGCACAACAGAGCACGTTAAGTAGCTTGTTGAATTTAAATTTCTAGTCAGCGATGTTGTGAGCCACACTAAGCTGTCATTAGTGTGGTACGGTGAGACTGAAGTGAAACAGGAGTTTGAATATCAGAGTGAACGTATAAGGTACCTTAGGTGACAGGTTGAAGGGAAGTTAGAACTTTATTATCAGACATTTGTACTACGGAATGTCGGCGTTAAAAGTTTCGGGGGGAGGATTCGGAAGGGGCAATCTCAGCTTATTTTCTTTATTGTATCTAGTCCCGCTATCCTGCTACCTTAAGAGTGGGTGCCCTGGCTTCATTGGCACGCCCATTATTTCGTCCCGTCACTTGCAAGCTGAACTGAATAGGACAGGCACTCTGTACACTGTCTTGTTTTTGTCACTATCGCACCATCTAATTAGAACTCTTTGCTCGCCTTGACTCAGATAGAAACTTGGCATCAACTGGTCTAGTATAGAAACTGTGTAAATATGAAAAAGAGGGCTGAATGGAGAGCTGATAAGAAACCGAAGTGAACTGAAATAGATACCTATGAACAATGGAGCAGTAACACTGTGATAAATCAAGATGGAGGCATGCAATCATTGTGTCTGCAAGCTAATGCGAGTATGTACGCCACAGGTATTGCTAGGCCTAGTAAATGTACAGAGGCCTGATCAGTATATATTGAATGAGAGCTTTGTCATGGAAGACTGAGGAGGACTGTAGGATAGTGTCATGAACTCATTAGGTAAGGCTTTCATTCTCTTGATTAGCTTATGACGAAATGCATATACACAGATACACTTCTAAAATGACACTGGTAATGTGCAGGCGGTCAGCAATAGTTTTGCCAGGGCAAAAAAAGGTAGATAACAGAAGAAAGGGGGGCACAAAGAAATATTTTTCTTTGTTTGTCATTTAAAAACTTTGAATAAATAATTGTCTGAATCTTACAACAAAAGTGGTCATCTGATTAAATGTATAGAAATCCATTACTGTATATAGTAACTAAGTGTTGGGACTAACGCGTTATTAAGTAACGCGTTACAGTAACTACGTTATTATTGTGGTAACGAGCACGGTAACTAGTTATTATGCCAAAATCAGGAACGCGTTACTCGTTACTGGGATTTAGATAGGTCGTTACTCGTTACTTCGTGTGGTGGCTATCGCGGAGCTTCCACAGATTCAGTAACATTAGCAAGTGGTGGAGGCCAGCAGGTGGATGAAGGAAAGGGGACGCAGAAGGAAAAGAGACCCGAGGCGGCCGCCGGTCCAAGTGTGAACTGAACTTCAGGTAAGAAGTTATGACCTGCAGTCTCTCTGGGTCAGATATGAACCAAGTTTAGGTGGAGTTTATTTTCGTTATGCTGACTTTTTCCGTACTGCGTGCTAGCTAGCATGACGGAGTTTCTATACAGCTGGGTGGTGCTATGAAGTTAATGATGTTGAACTTTATTTTGTTCATAAGTTATTAGAGTTGCCAACCGTCCCGTCTGGTATTCAGAGAAAATATTACGCGTTTCTTATTGAGGTGAAAAGGAACAGTTTGTCCCGTAATTCAGCTACAATGAAAAAGCACAAAGCTGGAGTTATTCTGTGTCTTTGCTGCACAGCTGCCTCTTCTTCTCTCATTCTCCCCCCTCCCTCTCCCGTTTCTACTTCAATCATGAAACTGATCAATGATCAGCTGATCGGCTCTCTTGTTTGTTTATCGCTCACTTTGCGCCGAAAGAGGAAACCAGCGGATGTCGCGCTAAACAACAGCAGCACGTTTAAGCTTGATCAGCTGTTGTTAGAATTTATTTAATATTAATTTCTAGTATCAGCTGATGTTTGCTGGAGCCACAGCTGTAAAAGCTGCTGGTCATGATATGGTTTGGTTATCTGGTGAGAGGGAAACATGAAGATGAAACCAGGAGATGTCCTTACTGGATCATCAGAGCTGACAGGTGATGGAGAAACAGGTTTACCTTTTAGGTGACATGAATGAGTTGAAGGGAAGTTATGAACTGTTTCTGAGAGACAAATAACACCAGGATCCTTTTTATAGCTAGCTGACAGCTGGTAACTGTGCAGGGGCGGGTCTAGCAAAGTGTTGCCAGGGGGGCATGTAGGGCATTAACAGGGAGAGGGGGGCACAAAGAAATACTTTTCTTTCTTATTCTCATTTAAAATGTCTCGCTTTTAAAAAATAATTATCTGAATCTTACAACAAACGATTGATAGATTGATGCATATATACCATCAGAACAGTGAACATCACTGTCACAACAGTGTTTGTTTTCATTCAAAGGCTTTATGATTTTTCCTATAATGGTGGGCCGGTCTCTAGTCAAAATGCCCGGGCCAATTTTCTGTCCCAGTCCAGCCCTGTATGCAGCTCATCTGCAGTCTGGTGTTCCTACATCTTCCTATTCAGAAGGCAGAATTTCCGAGTTCTGAGTACAATCGAAAGCACCACGACTGCAGTTTTTGTGTTGGATGTAAAAGAGCGCACATGACGCTGTGACGTAGGCTAGAATCATGGCAGCAGTCAATGACGGTCCAGGCGTGGGATTTCTCTCGTGGAAATATGCACATTATCTTTTCCTTTCTATTGGTAGGTGGCACAGTGCACTTGTGGCAAGTAAGCAAGCTAGAAGACTGGCAAAGTTATGGAAGCAACACATTAACAAGAGAATTCTGAGTAAAACCAAAGTTACTTTCCCTAGTAACTAGTTACTTTGAAAGTAACGAGTAACTTGAAGTAACTGAGTTACTTTTGAGAGAAGTAACTAGTAATGTAACTAAGTTACTATTTTAAAGTAACTTACCCAACACTGGTAACTAATAGAGTCAATACAGGGAGTGCAGAATTATTAGGCAAATGAGTATTTTGTCCACATCATCCTCTTCATGCATGTTGTCTTACTCCAAGCTGTATAGGCTCGAAAGCCTACTACCAATTAAGCATATTAGGTGATGTGCATCTCTGTAATGAGAAGGGGTGTGGTCTAATGACATCAACACCCTATATCAGGTGTGCATAATTATTAGGCAACTTCCTTTCCTTTGGCAAAATGGGTCAAAAGAAGGACTTGACAGGCTCAGAAAAGTCAAAAATAGTGAGATATCTTGCAGAGGGATGCAGCAGTCTCAAAATTGCAAAGCTTCTGAAGCGTGATCATCGAACAATCAAGCGTTTCATTCAAAATAGTCAACAGGGTCGCAAGAAGCGTGTGGAAAAACCAAGGCGCAAAATAACTGCCCATGAACTGAGAAAAGTCAAGCGTGCAGCTGCCAAGATGCCACTTGCCACCAGTTTGGCCATATTTCAGAGCTGCAACATCACTGGAGTGCCCAAAAGCACAAGGTGTGCAATACTCAGAGACATGGCCAAGGTAAGAAAGGCTGAAAGACGACCACCACTGAACAAGACACACAAGCTGAAACGTCAAGACTGGGCCAAGAAATATCTCAAGACTGGTTTTTCTAAGGTTTTATGGACTGATGAAATGAGAGTGAGTCTTGATGGGCCAGATGGATGGGCCCGTGGCTGGATTGGTAAAGGGCAGAGAGCTCCAGTCCGACTCAGACGCCAGCAAGGTGGAGGTGGAGTACTGGTTTGGGCTGGTATCATCAAAGATGAGCTTGTGGGGCCTTTTCGGGTTGAGGATGGAGTCAAGCTCAACTCCCAGTCCTACTGCCAGTTTCTGGAAGACACCTTCTTCAAGCAGTGGTACAGGAAGAAGTCTGCATCCTTCAAGAAAAACATGATTTTCATGCAGGACAATGCTCCATCACACGCGTCCAAGTACTCCACAGCGTGGCTGGCAAGAAAGGGTATAAAAGAAGAAAAACTAATGACATGGCCACCTTGTTCACCTGATCTGAACCCCATTGAGAACCTGTGGTCCATCATCAAATGTGAGATTTACAAGGAGGGAAAACAGTACACCTCTCTGAACAGTGTCTGGGAGGCTGTGGTTGCTGCTGCACGCAATGTTGATGGTGAACAGATCAAAACACTGACAGAATCCATGGATGGCAGGCTTTTGAGTGTCCTTGCAAAGAAAGGTGGCTATATTGGTCGCTGATTTGTTTTTGTTTTGTTTTTGAATGTCAGAAATGTATATTTGTGAATGTGGAGATGTTATATTGGTGTCACTGGTAAAAATAAATAATTGAAATGGGTATATATTTGTTTTTTGTTAAGTTGCCTAATAATTATGCACAGTAATAGTCACCTGCACACACAGATATCCCCCTAAAATAGCTAAAACTAAAAACAAACTAAAAACTACTTCCAAAAACATTCAGCTTTGATATTAATGAGTTTTTTGGGTTCATTGAGAACATGGTTGTTGTTCAATAATAAAATTATTCCTCAAAATACAACTTGCCTAATAATTCTGCACTCCCTGATACATTAGTATTGGCAGTCTGCAATTCTGTTGAAGAAAGATGTTGAATCTATTTAATTATTGTAGAAAAATAATTGATTTCTGTGCATTTGTTTTACACTTGCATTAAATTAAAGTTGATTACATCGATTAAGGGCGGGGGGTGGTTCCCTAATATTTTTGCTGGGAGTTGGCAACCCTATTAGTTAGGTAGGTAAGTACTCTTTAAAATACCAGAATAGGGAGGATGGTGTAGGTTTAAATTTATTAGATTGATCAGTGTTGCTGAACTATAAAATGTTTTGGGTGGAGTGTATTTTTTGCATACAGGTATAACAGAATAGCTTCAGTCTCTTGTTTTTTAAACTTGAGTATGAACTTATACAAAATGCAGCAAGATATTTATAAAAAACAGTTTTATTGATTACAAAATACGTATATCGGATTCACATCGGTATCGGAAGATATCCAAATTTATGATATTGGAATCGGTATCGGACATTAAAAAGTGGTATAGTGCCATCTCTAATTATTACAGAGTGAAAAATCCGAAGGCACAAAATTTGTCTTACCTGATGAGAACAGTGTAGCATGAATTATCCAGTCCATTGTGTTATTCCCATGAAAAATAATTCAAGCGTTTGTTTGGTTTTTTTGGAGGGGTTTTATGAGTTGAGTGTTCTGCTGAAAGTATCACAACAGTTGTTGAAACCAAAATGCAGAAATCATAGGGTGTGATAACAAAGGTAAGGCAACCATTTAAAGCAATTCTTTGGCAGGAGGAGTCACAATGATGACAGCACTGTCAGTAGTAAGATAAGATGAGATAAGATAGATAAGATAAGATAAGATAAGATAAGATAAGATAAGATAAGATAAGAACTTTATTTATGCCGAGGGAAATTCTTTTGTCATACACATGTTCAATGCAGCAAGAGAGACAGAGGAACAGAGTAATAAGATATACAATATGCACAATAGAATACAAGTATACAATAATATATAGTAGAATAGTGCAAAATATAATACTTTGCACTATTCTACTATATAGTAGACATTTATATATAATATAAATGTCTACTATATATAATGTAGTAGACAAAGGTGGCAAAAGTACCAACGTTCCTTGCTTAAATAGAAGTACAGATACTAGTGTTAAAAATAGTCCAGACTTAAATAAAAGTGGAAAAAGTACTGGCTCTGAAGTGCACTCAAAGTAAAAAAGTAAAAGTAGCTCCTTGAAGAACATTTCTACCACCTCTTTTTATTGAAATATTGCTAACCGAACCTTCTACTGCATTAATGTGATAGAACATAAATTTTATTTAAGTCTAAACTTTAATTCTAATAAAGGAATTATATTTCACAATAATTTCAGTTGAGAGGGTCAGTAGATTTCTCAGTGTCCCAGCTGTGATCAGGCTGTGACCTGAATTCAACAAGACGTCAGCAGATGTTTTACGAGTTGTCCTGGTTGATTTTCATCCTCTACACTAACACTGTTTATGCTGTCTTTATATTCTACACTATCGGCCCGAGTCTTGCTTTAATCATGTGTTGTGCATCTTGTAGCATGGGGTAACGAGAAGCGATTAACACCTCACGACCAGCTCCCGATCATCAACCGTATGGTCGCAAGAAAATCAAACCTGTTTGAAATCCTGTTGCCCCTCATGAGGGTATCAATGCAACCTCTCAGACTGCGCACGCACAAACACAGAATAGAAGTGAAACAGATGGAGTAGCACGGCAGTGCAGCGTGTGATCTGGACACAAGTGATGGAGGCACAACTTGTAGAACATTAGCAAGCTCATCCAAGCCTTTTCGATGTGGCCTCACAAAATTATCACGGCCGCACCAACCATGAAAAGAGATGGACATTGCTGCTCAATTGCAGCTGCCTGGTCAATGTTTTTCAAAGTTGATGGCGGTGTGTGTGTCTGTGTGAGTGAAAGACAGAGAAGGAGAGCGAGAGACAGATTTTGTGTTATAAACTTCATATTATCACTTCATGTTATAGACGCAGTGTGAGCACTCAGGTCGCATCAGAGCATTGGGCTGTATAGTGTGAGACCCTGCATCATGACCAACAAACTTCTAACCCCTGCAATTCAATCGTACAGTTTGAGCAGGAGCTGACCAACGCGACTGAAAAAATCGAACAATGTATGCCCAGCTGACTTTTCATTTTTTTCTGTTTAGGCTCAAATTGGTTTGATGTGTCAAGGTCCACAGTGACATGAAATAATAACTCTCCTCAAATGCATCAAACCTAAAGTAACGAGCCCGTTTTGACGTAAGGAGTAGAAAGCACAGATATTTGTTTAAAAATGTCGGGAGTAAAAGTCAAAAGTTGTCAAAAGTTGTCAAAATTTCCGGTTAATACTTGTACAGCTGCTGTTATTGTGTATATATTTATTTATATTTCTTCATACATTCTTATATAGTTCTATATTGTGTATTTTGTTGTACAGTTATTTTATTTTCAACTTTAATTTATATATTTTATCTTATTCTTTCCCAGTTAAATTTACCCTTCATTCTAATTTGTGTTGTACAGTTATTTCATTTTTAACCTTAATTTATATTTTATTCCTTCCTAGTTAAATTTACCCTTTTTAATTTTTCATATTTATTTCCTATCTTATTCATAGCCTTTTCCTTTTTTGTTTTCTTTAGGTCACGAGCAGTTGTCCAAGCATTTCACTACATATCGTACTGTGTATGACTGTGTACGTGACAAATAAAATTTGAATTTGAATTTGGAAATAAATACTCAAGTAGAAATACCTGTAAATTCTACTAAGTACAGAAATGAATTGTCTGTACTTCATTATTTCCCACCTCTAGTAGTAGATAATATGATGCATGTTTTAAAATGTGATTAATTTAATACTGCCTAAATTTCAAAATTTTCTTAATACTCAAGAATTTGGAAAATTGTAATTTCATTCTTTAGGATGATATTCCAGGCTCTGATGCTTTAAGAATAAAGATATAATACAAGACTTGATCTGTGTTTTGTAATACAAGTTGAGAAAGAGCACAGAGGTTGAAGAGGCCACTACCCTCTTCCACATTTAGACGTTTATTCCTTCTTTTTTCTAGTCTTGTAAGATGCATCAGTCTAACCTGGCTGCTAAGACTTGTGATGGCCAGGTCAAATATTTTTAGCATATTGTTTCTCAATGTAAGATTGCAATTGCTGAACCACACCTTTCTTTGAGTACAGCTAGTTTGATATTCTAGCAAACATTTTTTTAAAATACATGTGCATGAAATGTTTTGATATTAGGTTAAAATGCTTACATTTAAGCAAAAAGCAGCACAATCTCATTTTTGACATTTATTTTGTTACTGACACAGATGGTGTGGATATTTAAAGCTGTGCTCATTTTTCCTTAAACCCAGCTGCTATATAATATCTCCATCTGAAAACCCACTCCAGACTTTAGAGGGCATTTGAACAATAATAAGTTTGTTTATCAACTGAAAATATTGGCAAATTCATTGAAGATGCATCATTTTAACCTGGCTGCTAAGACTTGTGATGGCCAGGTCAAATATTTTTAGCATATTGTTTCTCAATGTAAGATTGCAATTGCTGAACCACACCTTTCTTTGAGTACAGCTAGTTTGATATTCTAGCAAACAATTTCTTTAAAAATACATGTGCATGAAATGTTTTGATATTAGGTTAAAATGCTACATTTAAGCAAAAAGCAGCACAATCTCATTTTTGGCATTTATTTTGTTACTGACACAGATGGTTTAGAATTTAAAGCTGTAAAGTCTTTTACTTCTATTGTCACGGTCCTGGGCCTGTGGCCCAGTGTTTTGATTCTATATTATTGTTTATTGGGTCCTGTTTTGCTTTTCTAGATTTCTTGTCCTTCTGGGTTGTGATTTCTAGCTCTTAGGTTTAGTTCTACCCTCATGTTCCTCCTGTTTCCTCTGTACTGTGTTAGTATTGTCTCTGAATCCTGCCTGCTGTTTTTCCAGCAATAAAGCTGTGCTTTTCAAGTTTATCCCACGTGTCCCCGTGAGTTTGCGTCCAATCCCTGACTGCCACACAGCCGAAAAAATGAGGGTAGAACGCGACCATTACACGGACCCAGAAAACCGCTCCCAGCTGCGTGAGCGTCAGGATGCTGCCTTTGCCCAGCTGGAGGAGGAGCTCCGCTGGAGGCCGTGGCGCACTCCTGACTACGGGCGGATTTTCCGAGGAAATCGGCTGGCTTTCGGAGGTCCCCGAAGTTGCCAAAAGCCTCCGCCTGTTGCCCCGCTCGCACCCAAGCCTCGGCCGCTTCAGGTGGGATGCCTCTGCATTGCCGTCCTGCACGTCAGAGGCTCAGCTGTACACCCCGTCAGATTCCTCACCTCAGAGGAAGCGACGCTCACGCCGCCGTCACTTTTCACCTGCTGAGCAACTCCCGGTGGTGAGTCATAATGACTGCCTTTCACACATTCCACCTGAAGCCACAACTGAGAAGAACGATAAACTCACCTCTGATCCATGGGGAACTTCCCTTATGGATGATGACAATGACTGGGAAAATTATTTTCATTCAGCTCCCTGGGAGGGGGGATTAATTAAGGACAAGTCAAACACTTCAAACCCTTTAAACACTACTAAAACAAAGACTGTAAAGCGTGGTGGAAAAAGTGCAAAATTCATTTTTGATAAGTTTGTTTTTGCTGACCCAGTACATTTTAACCCTGAGCCTGCCCATTCTAAGACTGTTTTTTCTGGGCCCAATCCTTTGCCTACTTGTGTTCCTGCTCCCAGGGCAGCTCGGGCCCAGCGTACCCCTGCACCCGTATCAGTTCCTCGGGTTTGAGAGTCTGGGGCCCAGTTGGTCCCTGCTCTGGTTTCCAGGCCGGCTGAGGCTCTGTCAGTTTCTGCACCCGTACCAGCTCCTCGGGTGAGAAGGGCAGTTGCCCAGCCGTTGCCGGTGCCTGTCCCAGCTTCCAGGGTGAGGGGGGCGGTGAACCAGTCCACCCCTGCACCCATGCCGGTCCCCAGGGTGAGGTCAGCCAGGATACAGCCCGTCTCCGCACCCGTACCTACTCCTCGGGTGGGAGCGGCTAGTGTCCGGCAGGTGCGTGCACCCGTTCTTGTTTCTGCTGAAGGCTCAGGCAAGCCCGCCCAGCAGTCCTCCCTGTGTTCCAGAGGCTCAGGAGAGTTAAGTCCACAACCATCATCACCACCATCACTACTGCATGCATTTCAGTCTATAGCTCAGTCATTGGCTGTATCCCAATTCTGGGTCTGCAGCTTTAAAGTACGCAGCCTTAACGGTCCACAAGGGCCGCGTACTCAAAGACCGCTAAGGCCGGAAGTGCGAGGCTTGTGAAATGGGACAGTCTAGCCTCCGTCGCACTGCCCAAGTTGCCTAGCAACCATGATACTAACAGCTGGAAACGTTTCATACAGCTTTGTTTGACAGAAATGAAGGAGAAAATCTTTTGTTCATTTGTTTGTTTGTTTCTACATGAGCTTTGATCATTCTCTGTAAGATTAAGCTCAGCTATTGAACGGCGTATATTTTAAAGTAAAGGCTTTAAAACCAAGTTAGTACAAACGTCACTAATGTCACATAACTTTGCCGACATGTGGCCAACAGTAATGTTTTAATGTTCTTCGTTATTAAACATTTGCACATAAGTGACATAATATTCAGTACTTACTTAAAGTTTACTCTTCGGGCGCCCCTCATCTGCCGTTTTTTTCGGCAAAATTATCCACACAAACCGCCGCGCTATGCATTCTGGGATATGTTGGGCCACGAAGTCTACACCGCCACATCCTTAAAATTCAGGGAAATGAAGGACGCATTTGAGGGCCGCATTTCGAGCAGCCTTCGAATTGGGACAGCCTTCGTCGCGTCGCTGTGACGTAATCGGCCTTAAAATGGGGCCTTTAAGGCTGCAGACCCTGAATTGGGATACAGCCATTAGCTCTGTTAGCAGCCCAGTCCATAGTTCAATTTCCTGTGTTACTGTTAGCTCACCCCTTAGCCCACTGTGCAGCTCAGCCATCTCCCCAGTGTTCAGCTTAGTCATTTGTTCCACCACCTGCCTTCTGTTCAGCCAGTGGTCTCTGTCCCTACTGGTCATGCCACGTCAGCTGGGGGGCCCGAGGAGCCCGTCCAGCCACCACCTGGGGCTGCCACGCCGTAGCTTGCAGCACCTACACCGTCGCCTGGTTCAGCTTCAGCTTCGCCGTCGCCTGGTCCAGCTTCAGCGTCGCCTGGTCCAGCCTCAGCTTCTGTATCAGCCTTGCCTGGTCCTGCAGCTGCCACGCCGCCGACCAAGCCACATTCTGCACCTCGGAATCGCTGGCCACTTTCCGGGCCACCAGCTGGACGTTATCGCCGTCGAGGTCGGCCGCAAGAACTGTTTCCCCGTTGCTGCCCGTACGGTCGGCCCCCTGAGTTATTGGTGAACTGTACGCCAGTGTTTTTTTTGGGTTTTTTGTTCCGTTGAATTTATCCCCCGTGTCCCCGCGAGTTTGCGCTTGGGTCCAATCCCTGCCTGACACACATCGGAAACATGACATCTATAGCATTGTTTTGTAAAATGATGGTCCTTTTGCCAATACATAAATTATGCAAGAATATGCTGATGTTATCTTCTTATTAAAAGTGAGATAATAAGTCAAATAAGAATGAAAAAAGGAAGCATAGTTGTGTTTACATGCTGCACAGGATAGACACTGATGATTAGTTAAAAATTCACATAACAAAGCTGACAACACATCTTTTATTGTTGATCAGATTAGAGAGTAAAATTCTTCACCAAAGAAAAAGTCACCCTGAAAAGACACTTCCAACCATAATCCATCACAGGACTTTCACAGACTAAATTTAATCTCATCTAATTCATTTGAGAATGCAGACTTTGTGTCTCCTTTGTCCTCGGGTTTCTAAAGTTTAAGGCATTGATTGACAGTTGTATTTTTCTGCTCGGATGATTTAATTTCAGCAGTTTTCTGCTTCTGAAGGTAGTGGAAGGACACAGCTAGGAGCCTCTATATTAGATAATAGTAAATGAGCAAGCAAAGGAGTGATTTCAAACACAGCAAGCTATCTTTTGTTGACTCAACCAAATGTGGTAGTATGGACATTGCTACACACACTGGGCCTTAAATTTTTCATATAGAGTAAATGTACAACTACAAATATGATTTTCTTATTCTGCTGTGAGTGCACTTGCATCATTCCCTGGACCATCTTCTGTACTGTCGTTCATCATCTGTTTGTATTTGCTCTTGAAAAACCCAGCCTAGAAGTGCAAGGAAAAAACATTAAAAGGCAGATATTGTGTATTGCAGTTGCAAACAAAATGAATGAAAATAACTATATGAGTGACTATAAAAACCTTTAACCTTTGTTTAACTGGTCATGATCTCTAAAAATCTTAAAGCTATGTAATGAATTGAAAAAGTGTAAGAAGAGTCTTTCACCTTATACAGGCCAGCAGTGAGTAAAGCCAGAATAGCCAACCCTCCCAGGCATCCTCCAATGATCGCTTTAGTGAAATCTGGCTTAGGGTAAACTTCTACCTCTGCTACAATCTGAGAGATGACGAGACACAATGTGGATGACATTTAAGCTCTTGTACATCTCAAACAAGAGAAAGTAATGCTAAGTCACCTTGCGAACAGGAGGATTGTTGTAAGACCCTGTTGAAAAGTAGATGTATTGTTCTTTGTCATACTCCACAGTGGCTGTACTGGTTAAGAGGAATTTAGCAGATTGAAGTCCAATCTATGGAAAAAAAAATAGACTAGGATGAGGCTGAATTAAAAATATTGTTCAATTTAAGGGAGAAATTGTTATCATATTCAAGTACATAAGACCACCTATAATCCAAATATGTATAAATCATTTATAAAAAAACTACCCTTTAATTACCTGCTCTATCCATCCTGAACTGAGGTTGGCAGAGATTTCGTATGTCCTACTCTGCAGTCTTCCCATGAAGGTGTTGCACTTGAACACTCTGCACATGGCTACAGAGCAGTCCTGTGGGTGATTTAAAGAAGACTGAATGAAACAAATCTGTGATTCAGTACAAGGTTATGTTTTGAATCTGTACCATGGTTCAGTTTTAACAGGTAGCAAAAGTGCAGAGGCATACTTACCACCACTTTATTCTTTTGTATCTTTGGAACAGAATCTGTGACATTTGGTGTTTCATCATTTCCTCTCTGACAGTCTGCAATCTGAAATACACTTACATTAATGTCAGGGTGATTGATCCTAATTTTAGCAAATTCACCCATCACACAGCTAATTGTGACCCATTTTTGTATCTTTTCTATTACCTGTAGGCTGCTCAAATTCACCCAAATCTCTTTTTCATCAAGCTTCACTGGAACCTTGATCACCACAGTGAAATTAAGCGCTCTGATATAATTTGTTACCTAAAACATGGGGAGAAAAGACAAAGGCAGTCAAGCATTATAATGGTTAGGTCTAATTCACGCAATAATATTTATTATATTTTATTATATTTTACCGTGACTGATTGTCGAACCGGTTTCTGCAAATTATTTATCCCAAAAGTAAAATTGCTGTAGCTGAGGGTGCTAGAAAGATTTAAACATTTAAACATTATATAAATAATGTGTAAGACAAAAGAATGTTGGCTTGCAAATAATTTCCTTTGTTACAAATACAAACACACGTACTTTTCAAATGTCATGGAAATGCTGTATTTCACAGCAATCTCTTTCATTTCGTAGATTTCACTCGTAGTAGTGTTCTCTTGATTTCCACTGAAAGAGAGAAGTGAAATGGTTGTACTGTATCTGTGGGGTTATTAAACAAGGAGTACCTAAATGACCAAATGAACAGTACCTGGTGGCATTTGCAGTGACAAAGATCTTTCTCGCAAGTCGACTGTTGGTGTCAATCCCATAGGAGACAATGAAGAAAGCCTTAATTGAAATAAAGGAGAGAAATCTTGATTCCCTCACATCTTTTTACTAAACTGTGCAGAAGTGAGAAGAGAAAATTGCATCAAAAAAAACAAACCTCAGTTTTGCTCTTGAAAATTGGCTTGTCAATAGTACAGTCTGTCCTTCCTCGGGATAAACCATCTTCACTGTCCAAGGATTTGCACTCAATTCTTCCCTTTATTAGTAAATAAAATGACTTCTGGGTGCACTGGGAGAGCAGCAGATCAGTGATGAACTGATAAAGACTTGATCCTGATGCCTTACCTGCTGAATGGTGAACTTCCTGTAGGAGAGTCCAGCTGGGTACGTGAGAATAACGCGACTGTTGTAGGAGTTTTCTCCTCTGTTCTCCACTGTGACTGTGACATTCAAAAGCTCATCAATGCCCACTTTAACCTCTGAGGATCTGACAGAGGACGAGAATAAAGGAAGAGGAAAACAGATTGCACTGTGTTGGTGAACTTTCCATAAGCTAAATATAGCACGTATTTGTGTTGAATTCTAACATACTATGTTAGAATTCAAAATATGTAGTATGTAACATATATGCTGTGCTTCAATGCTGATGCTGTTTTATTATGTTTTGTGTATTGGTCAAATCTTTGAGCCCTTTTAATGTATGACACTTAAGTATGTGTTGTATGTGAAAGGCCATATTTGCTGGTTTTTCGTATCTTTTTGAAATATGAATGACTTTTGTATTTTGTTTTATTAAGAACCTGAGGGCCTGAAGTGGAGGTGTCTGGGTGCCTTTGGTGGGGGCATTTGCGCTGTGTTTTTTTATGCAACCCCGGTTTAACCTGCAGATTAGTGTGAAGGTGTGTAGAGAAGAGATATGTGTGAATTGGCAATTTTTTGATACTCTTTTCATCTAGGAGCCCATTTGCCCACTGGTGAGCTGATATGCTGTTGATTAATTTTGTGCAAGTGGATTGATGCCTCTTTTGTTTCGTGTTTCTTTAATAATTGTCAAAAAAACAGCTTCTTGAGTATTTGTCTCTGTGTAAAGAATAATGGACCATGATGCTTTCTTGGTGAATTGTAAAGTTCTCGACAAAATATATAATATAATATAATATAATATAATATAATATAATATAATATAATATAATATAATAACCTGGTGAAGTTGAAGTCCAGTTTTAGGTCATCAACACATTTGTTGTCAGTGCCGCAGTTGATCTCAAACCCTAACTATGGAACACAGCATGATGTGAAAAGTATGTATATTACACGTTAATTATATAATAAATGAAACATCGATGAATCCAACGAATAATCTGTTTGTTCTGTCATCTAACTTTACTTTTACATTTTTGTTAATCTGAACAAATTGAATATTCTTGATACGCTTTTGGAAAACAGCAAAGTCCTTTTCACACCCAAGAATTCTTCGGTAGAAGTAGTGTTAGTCAATTTTATGGCAACAAAAAGTTAATTCAGAAAAATAAGGTCAAAACTAATGCTGTGTTCTTCAGTTCATGTCCAGATAGTACATTTTTAAAGGTATTTACAGGATAAATTATTGTTGTTTGAGCCTGCTGAGCAAGGCTTGGTCTGAGATTTGTGTTGGAAGGAAAACCGTCAAATGTGAATTTGAGCTCATTGGAAAGTTGATTGAGAGCATCGTCTGGGCAGGCCTGCAAAAAGACAGCAGTGTTAGATTTAGGTTCCGTGTTGGAAGACTCTTAAAAGCAAAATGGAAAACAAAATCTGCTTTTCACCAAATTGAACCTTATTATTGGTTATATTAGTTTTTCTCTGATGTTGTTTTACCTCAATAAAGAAGTTTACAGTTGAACAGTTTGGTGTACTTAAGTCAACAATGACCGATCGAGACTCCTCTCGTTGTTTCCCACTGATGTAAGCTCGGTTGTTTGGAGGTTTGCGAGTGGCATCAAGTGTAAAAGTATAATTAATTCTAGCTTGAGCTGGAATAAATCAGAGTTTAAAATGTTACAAATGTACATACACTAAAAAATGAAAATGGATGGGCAGTGCCATTTTGATTTTGAAAAAGTTAGGAGAATAAAGAACCTCGATCAACTGTAGACACTCTGCTCATGGTAAAGCAGACTGTAGCTGTGTTCTGCAGTGGTTTTGAGCAGCTTACATTCTGAGTAGGGATTTGGTTTGGGCTGAATGACACCTCGACTTCAACCATTACAATAGGTCTTGATCTGGAAAAAAGGAAAAGCACATATGAACAACATTTGGTTTTTCAATTAGTACAGCAGCTTTCTGGGTAATGTAGTCATTTCCATTTCTGCTTGGAAATTATTTTTTAGAACAACAAGGCTACTGTTATAAATTACGCATTTTATTTTGAGACTTCAGTCTCAACCAACCACATTTATTCCACCTTTAGTCACCAGAGCACCTCTCATTATGCAACCCAATATGATGGCAAAACGTGTAATAGACACCAGACCACCATTTTTATTTCACGCTTCTGCAAAACATGAAGTGGACACGCATGCAGTTGCATTTCTGCATGCAAAAGTTGTATTACCAGCACAGTGAGATAACATATGTAAAGACAAATCAATAGTGAACACAAAACGTATAAAGAACATTTCAAGGTCCTTAATTGCCAAAAACGTTTAAGCTAGGCGTCTAATATGTATAAACATGTAAATGTGTTAATAATGTCTGCTAAAACGCTTTCCTGTGATAATGTTCACGTCGGATTGAAATAAAATCGCTCCCTCTGCTGTTACGGCAGCTTACTGCAACTTCGCATGCATGTCATGTTTTGCCATTTTCCTGGGTTCCATCATGTCGCAACGAAAAAATTTTTTATCTCATGATCAGAAAGGCTTTTGACATGATAAACTTTAAGTCATATAACGTGACTTCTGGGAGAAAAAAATATATGCCTGTTTTATCCTGCATATGTATTCCATTAAACATTAAAAATTACTTTTCATGAATCACTTTATCATTGATGATGATTTATGATTCATTATTATATTATATAAAACCAATGCACAGGTCTTCAAATGGACCTAAACGTTTGACAGTTGGCGCATTCATTTGACATTGACAAAGTTGGTAGACATACCACAGACAATAATAACACATGACTGGAGTATCTATCTGGACTGTGACTTACCTCAGTAAGACAACCGTGCCCTTTGAACCCACCGCTAAGTCAGGTAGTTTATCACCACTCTGATCAAAAGACGACTGACTGATTGTCACTCCAAAGAACTTCAGTCCTGACTGGACCTCAGAGCCAGTAATTCTCTGTGTACGTGAAATATTTTAATTAATCAAACTTTATTGTATAGATATGGGCCTTAAATGATAACTGTGTTAATATATCCTCGTGAGTTCTTTGATGCTGTGTACCTGTGAGTAAGTAGGACTGATTCGTCCTCCTTCACTGTGGAATATGTAGATGCTGCCTTCACCATTATTCTCCAAAGGTGCTCCAACTGCCAAATCCCTGAATCCATCTGAATTTAGATCAGGCAGCACAGCAAGAGAAGAGCCGAACCTTCCTTTGACAGCTAAATGTCCTCTTAGTACTAACGGATCATCAAAATTACACTCCACAAACTGAAAGGAGGAGAGTGAATATTTTATGGTTATTAAGAAAGTTGAAAAATAAACTGATTCATTTAATTGCAGTACATAAAATTGTGATTTACCAAACCAGTTAGTCTGCAAACATAAACTCTTCCCTCTCTATCAGGCTCCATGTACATTGGGGCTGATATGAAGATCAGATCAGTAATGTCATCATTATTTATGTCCATGGTACACACCTCTGCCCCAAAATATGCACCAGTCTGATACTGTGTAAGGAACAAATTCGTAATGAAAGGATTCATGTTTAGGGGGAAAAAAACAACAGCTTTTATTTAAGAAAATAATTCATATATAGTTTACAATTCCATTCAGATCTGTCTTGCTGTAAATTCATACCTGTGATGAAAAGGGCTCGATCTTTTGGTTTTCAAAGCTTTGTCTGTTAACAGCGACCACAACTCCTCTGTGTTTGTATCTTGGAGCACCAACAATTGTTAGTGAGCCACTTCGGGTTTTAGCAGTTGCCATGGAGTAACCTAGAGGTTAGGTATTCAAAAAGAGGAAGATTCCTTATTCCTTCTTTTAAAATGTGTTCATTTTGCAAACACATTAGTGTGTTTGGGTGAAAGAATTACAGCAGAGCTGTGTAATACATGGTTACATGTGTATGAGTTAGATTGTTAAAGCTGTAATATTCTTACCAAGATAACTGTCAGGCTCCAAAGACACATCCTCATATGTTTTCAGCTTCTGGCCTCCTGTTGTGTATTGCACGTAGCCTCCCTTCCACTGGTTTGCACCAACAATAGACGTCTGAATTCCCTACAGTGCAGACAGGAAATACATTTTATATACAATTTATTTTTCATTTCAAACCTGGAGTATGTTTAACTAGATAACTGTCTGCTTGCTTTTGGGTTATTATAAATGTGTGAATCTCTCTTTCTATGACTAGACTGTCTGGTGAGTTTCAGGTAGTTTTAATTACCTCAGGCACATAAACTGCACTGAATCCCTCTTGAGACATTTCCATTTTCAGTGACTCTCCACTGCTTTGAGATCCTGTAACAGAAAAATAAATGAGAAGGTAAAAGACACACTACAACAAATTTCACTTTAAAAGAAGTTTTTTTTTGTTGTTTTTTTAATTATTCTAAGTTAAGTAGTAGCTCCAAATTATTTTTTTCTCTTGATTACAAAAGCGAGATTGATTGTTAAAAACTAAATGAAAAGTAATACCATGTATGTCATTTTAATTGTAAAAAAGCTATTACAATACATTTATCTTTGTACCTTCAATGGAGAAGATTTTGTCCTGCAGACTCTGTCTTATTAATTCAAGTGCGTTGAAGTTCTGCACTTGAAACACGTATTTGACTGAGGGAGAAGATGCAATGGTGTCCAGTTCTTGTTTTGCTGCACTGTTAGTAAATGCACTCCCCACCTGGTGTTATAAAATATATGTTTGAGTTGTTATACTATGCAGCAGGATTTGCTCAGTACAGATTATGGTCCATAACTTTACGGACTTTCACCCAGTTTATAGACAGGTATTGTGCACCCACTGAATATGACCCACATTCATGATAACAGTTACGTAATTCTGCAAAATATTTTTTCACATAAATTTAATTATGAACAGTTTATGTTCCCATCAAAAATTCTGCCTTTTCATTAATTTAAGAAATTCTATTTTAAGTTTATGTGGTCAGTGAAATGGGCTTTGATTTCACTACGTTAGTCTTAGCCTTCAGGTGTTTTTTGCATCCCATTGTCACAGATATAAATAAACAAACAACTACCAGTGTAGGCCTTCTTTACAAACATTTATGAAAGAATGGGTTGTTCTAAAGAGCTCACTGAATTTGAGTGTGGTACTGTCAATTTGTGAAATTTCTTGCCTCCTGTGTACTCCATCATCTACTGTTATAGTTGTGTATATAGTGTTATATCTTGTGAGTTTTGTCTGATAGTTGACTGAAACACATCGTGAGTAATAAAAATAATAATAATAATGGAAGTACTTACCCCAATAGCAAATCGAATAATGTTTTTACTCTCTGCCAGCTGTGCTGCACCTCCCAGATCATAACGATCATGGGATTGTCCATCAGTAATTACTATCAAGACCTTCTTTACATTTGGTCTGGAACCTCTTTCTGGTGTGAAAACATTGTTCCTGCCAAGTGAAAAAAAAAATCTATTTTTAACACAAAACAACTTTTCAAAGTGCATCTTATGATCATGACTAAATTGCATGTGTTATTATTGTCTTGATATGCATCATTTTTGTATTATCTTTTAGTATTGCAGATATTTTTGCACTTTGCAAATCCAGCTAATGCAAGTATTTGAATTTAGCCTTGGTTATGCTCATCTCATCAAATCTGTGGGAAATAATTCTTCAAAACCCAAGTCTGTCTTTTTACAGGGTTTCAAACACACAGTACTTAGTGTGGTGAGATGCACCAGAAAAAATAATCTGGACAGGAAGTCTAGACAATAAGTTCACTGTAGTGCTTTAGTAATATTATTGCATCACTGACACAACATGTCTGATGGCCTTAGCTGTGTAAGTAGCTCCCCCCAGCTGACTAATTCCATCTATGTCAATCCATGGTCCAGATGAGGTAAATTTCTTAAAATAAAAATGAATTAGAGGGAACGTGGAGAACTGGGAAACAGAAAACTGCAAAAAAAGAAAAGAAAAAGAAATTGTCATGCTTTGTGAAAATAAATAGAAATAAAGATAAAACAATTTTATGTGCCATGATTTAAATTACAGAGGGACTGCAGGGCCTTACCTGTGCATCATTTGAGAGAAATGACTGAATTAGCGTTTTCACAAATGTCTTCATTGTTTGAAAGTCTGTAGTAGATATGCTGCCCGAACCATCCAACAGAAAAGCAATGTCTACTTGCGGCGGGCATGCTATCAAAGAGATTAATTTCAAAATGAATTTAATTTCAAAGGGTTAAAGTTAACAGTACCACACAGTACCACATGCTGAAATAAACTTCTCGTTAATGGCCCTTTGAGTTCATTTACGTAGTAAATACTAAATGTAATCTGATTTGACAGACAAAACATTAAGAATAAAAGATTAAATTAGTTTGATCTAAAACTAATTTTAGAGGTTCATGTAACAAGAATCTACCTCTGGCCACAATCAGCACACTAAAAGAGAGACTGTGTCCTAACTAGGATAGGGGTTTGTGTCAGTGTGTGGGATTTTAGCCTAAGGTTAAAACTTACTTACCAATAGGAGTAAATTGACAACTTAAAACAATTTTATTGTTTGTTTGTTTTTTTTAAGTGACAACTTCCTATTGGTTATTTTTGTGGTATGGCAGTTTTGGATGCATCTATCCATCCAAGCTTAGATCTTGAGGTTTGGTCTCCTCTGTAATCTTAGACCACCAAATCATACAAGTCATACACAAAACCTGGCAACAATCCCTTTTTTTTTATTTACTCCACTTCTGTTTTGACTAAACCTTATTTTTTGCTGACATGTATAAACAGAAGTCTCAATATAGTTTCAGTTGATCTGAGATTTAGAGATTGTACAAGCACCAAAATAAGTCATTAGAACTCTACGTTCAAGTATAAAATCCAAAAGCTTTTTTTTTAATTAGTGAGGCCCCAGGACTCTAAGCATTATGGGTATATCATCACAAATTTTATTTACTGTTACCTTGAAGAGAAGAAGGTATGGGTAGTCCAAATATATTAGAACGGTCCATGTGGAAGCACACACCGTTGTACATGGTGATACTTTTGCAGTCCTTTGGGATGGTTGGACCACACACCTGAGAGGAGACAGTGTCAATTTTCCATTAATACAGTAGGCTGATTACTTCCCAGTCCTTCATACAATGATTACTTTGATATAACATCAAACATACCTGAAATTATTAATCTGAAATTTGCTTTTTTTTTACAACTTTAACATATTTAAAGAAGCCACACTAAATTCTACCATGAAACATTTCCAAGCTAGAAGTCCTTAAAGTATTGGGGTTGGTTCAAAATTTAAGCAATTTATAATTCTTACATGTTTTTAAATAACCTTTTTCAACATTTTTCAGTCTTCCAAACTTCTTGTTTATGTATGTGATATATCCGCATTAACATTTCAGGACTGAAAAAATACATTTAGTTTTTCACAGAGCTTGAATATGTTAAACAAGTGAACTAAAATAAGCAGACCCAGTCCTATACAGCTGTCCTATGTCTTAAGTGTTTCTAAGTGTTTTTCAGTAAACAAGGTAAAATTTTGAATGGCTTCATTAAATATGCTAAACGTATTGTACCCAAAACATCAGCTGATTTTATGGGGTGTTGGTGGAAGGCACACTAAGGCTATGTTCACACTGCAGGCGAAAGCGCATCAAATCCAATTTTTTTGACCCTATGCGACCCATATCCGATCATGGTATGACAGTGTGAACGGCACAAATCCAATATTTTCAAATCCGATCTGGGTCACTTTCATATGTGGTACTGAATCTGATAAATATCCAATGTTTTAGAAAGCGACTCTTGTTTGAACGGTCAAGTCGCATCAAATCCATCTTTTACGTCACTGACACAAGACAGACGCCAATTATCAGCTCCGGAGAAGACATCGCAAACGCTTCCTGGCCATCCAGCAGTGAAACCTGTGTCAGTGTTGGGAAGACAACGTTGGAGAAACGTGAACATGTTATTTATAACTGTATAATCCGCAGATTCTGACAGAAATCTGCAACTATCCTTTGAAGCAAACAGCAATAAGGATAATTATTAGGTTATTTACATATTTACATTTACATTATGTAAATAACAAAATAACTTAAAGCAAAAATTGGGAAACGTAAAGTCCGAAGTCTTTATATTAACCCTCTCAAGGCAGGCGTTGCCGATTTACAACAGTTAAAAACTAACAACCTGATTACCCCACATACATATTTTATGAGTTTTTTTACTCAGAAGTACCACTGCAGGACTTGGTTGTGCATTAGCAACACAAAACTTAATTTGAGCCTGAGAGGGTTAAGGGCCATCAGTCAAACAATATTGCTTGCTCTGGGTCTAAATAGAGCGCGTTGTGTGTGACGTTTTCTTTTGCGCATGTGCGCCGCTTTGAGGGTTCACACTAGAGCGCGTTTGCTGTCGCATTTTATTTGTAGTGTGAACAAGCAGACAAAAAAATCGGAATTGAGCATTAAGACCTGCAGTGTGAACGTAGCCTAAGTTGTCATGGAATGGGCTTCATGCATTTTCTAATTATAACTGTCATGGTCCAGAGTCTGTGGACTCCATGTTTATGTTTAAGTTTATTATTATTATTCTGTGGTTTTGTTTATTTTGGGTTGTTTTTTATGATTATCCCTAGTGTTTTGTGTCCTTTGTGCTCTCCTGTTCCATGTTTCACGTTCCTATGTTCTGTCTCCCCAGTCTGTGTTAAGTTTGCATGTGTAGAGTTCAGTCAGTGTGTTTCCTGTTTTATTTTGAAGGTCTGTGTCTCTTGTCAGTGTTTCTAGTTTCGCTTCCCCTTGTCTCGTTATGTCCAATTAATCCCATTCCCTGATTGCCCTGTGTGTATTTAAACCCTGTGTTTTCCTGTGTGCGCGTTGCTGGCTCATCTGTGTATTTCCCTGAGTCTCCCTACATCTCTGTTTCTGGTTTGTTTCAGTTAGTTTTTCCAGTTTAGGTTTTGCTTAGCTTCCATGCTCACCTTCGCCGTATCTATTTGTATCACCCTGTATCACTCTTGGGTCCTAATTCTCCACCTCCACATGTCTGCCACAGTGGACGTGACAATAACAAGAGATTTTGACAATGTACTGGTAATGTCTGCAGTTCACCAACTCACCACAGTGTTTTGTGTTGTGGGATCACTTTTCATTGTCAGACCAAGCGACATGTTGACTGCAAAATCTGGTGCTGTATTAAAAACAAGCAATATTTTTTTAAATACTCATAAAAGGCAATTGAAAGGAAGAAAATAAGACTTAAATCAATTACTCCAAAGCAGCATGACTGAAATACTTCCCATTGGAACTTCTCTCAACTGCAAACCAGGATGTAAACCAGGCCGCTTTAATATCATATAATTTAGTTTCACTTAAAGAATTATCTTAACATTAACATTACTAATGCCATTGACTTTTTCTTTGCTTATTTTAGCAAGATATTTCTAGTTTTGAAGGCTCAGTGTTACAAACTAAGATATTTACTTTGAAAAATCTAATTATGATTTGATTTACACATGTTTCTGTGCAGCTCACGATAATTTATTTGATGGCAAAACACATGCCGTTAGAGTTCCATCACATCTTGTCAATACATTCAATAATGAATGATTACTTACCTTCAAACGGGATATTTTGGCAGTTTAGGGCAGAGGTGGTGCAGCTATAAATTTTCCCCCTTCGATTTTGTGAATAGTGTTCTACTGGAGCACTGACGAGCACACTAAAGAAATAAATCCAGTCAATGACGTAAGTCCAGACAGAGAATTGTAGGTAAATAACAATAATCTCTATGAACAGTTCCAGTCTGGTTTTTGCCCTTGCAATAGCAGAGAAACAGCCGTTATAAAAATAATCAACGATCTGCTTATGGCAGCTGACTCCTGTTTACTCTTCATTCCTGACTCAAAAATTCATCAATAAGCTTCAACGTGTCCAGAATTCTGCTGCCCGTATTAACACTAGGATTCCCTCTATTCACCACATCACCCCTGTCCTGAAGCAGCTTCATTGGCTTCTGGTCAAACATCGCATCAATTTTAAAATACTTCTGTATACATTCAAGACTATTCATCTTCTCTCCCCTCCAAATCTCTCTGATTTGGTTCAGATCACCATTCCATCTCGGTACCTCAGATCCTCTTCTCTCTCTCTCTCTGTTCCTTCCCAGTGTCTGCCTTACCACTACATATTTCAAATACAATGAGGGTTTCTACAGACAAAAACATGGCTGTGCCATGGGCTCCCCGGTGTCACCCATTGTAGCCAACCTTTACATGGAGGAATTGGAAAGAAAGGCTCTTGGATCTTTTAAAAAGGAGAGTACCCAGCCACTGGTACAGAAATGTAGACGACACCTGGGTCAAAATCAAAACACAAGTAGTGGAATCCTTCACTGCTCACATCAACGCTGTGGATAAATAGATCAAGTTCACCAGGGAAGACACAAAGGACAACTGTTTGCATTTCCTGGACTGTGCCGTGCACATTGAAGAGAATGGAAACCTCAACATCGAAGTTTACCGGAAGCCCACACACACGGACCAGTACCTCCTCTTTGACTCCCACCACCCTCTAGAACACAAACTTGGAGTAATTAAGACCCTACACCACCGGGCAGAACATGTTCCCTCTAAGCCTGAAGGGAAAAAGAAGGAACACACACATGTAAAGGAAGCTCTTAAAACATGCGGTTATCCTGTTTGGGCTTTCATCAAGTCAGCAAAGATGCACAGAAAAGAAGATCAGACACCAGCGAGGGAGAATAAGAAAGACAGACGCAACAACATTGTCATTCCCTATATACCCGGTGTATCAGAAAAACTCAGAGTTTTCTCCAAGCACGACATCGCAATTTACTTCAGACCCAGCAACACACAGAAACTGGTTCATCCCCAAGACAAAACTCCTAAACACAAATTCAACAATGTGGTGTATGCTGTACAGTGTAGTGAAGAATGCTCAGACCTCTACATTGGAGAGAACAAACAGCCACTTCATAAACGCATGGCACAACATAGGAGAGCCACCTCCACGGGACAAAACTCAGCAGCCCATCTGCATTTAAAGGACAAAGGTCACTCTTTTGAGGATGCCATTTTACACATTTTGGACAGAGAACGCCCACTCACATCCTGGGCCATCTGACCTCAGGAAATCACATGATAGGGTGGGGCTAGGTTTCACAATGAGCTCACCTGAAACCTTGGCTGATTGTGACCTACACCCATTTTCACACCTTGGTTCATGTGATTAGGTAGAGGATCATTAGGTGGTCCATTGTCCCTCTCGGGGGATACTCCCACAGGGCTTAAAATTCAGGACTCTCCACCATTTGACCCAAGACCGGCAGAAGCTTCTCGGATGAGAGGTGAAACGTCTTCAAGCAACTTAAAGAAGTCTAGACGCTTTTCTTTCCAAGCTCCTTAGACTACGATGACCTGGATGACTGAGAACCTTCACTGACATATTCCCACTCTCTTGTCACTATGGAGGGCAGGCCCTTCAGTTGCTATGCTCCTTAACTTTGGAATTCCCTACTTCCTGATATGAGAAATATCATCTCATTTTCTCTTTTTAAGTCTAGACTCAAAACTCACCTGTTCAAAATAGCTTATTCCACATAACCTTTCCACCCTGCTAACTTTTAATCTGTTCGTTCTATTATGTTTCTCATTATTGTGTATATTCCCTGCTTTTACTACTTTGCTCTTCACAGTGTCCTTGAGTGTTCTGAAAGGCACTTTTGAAATAAAATGTATTATTATTATTATTAAATACACTGTATGTTTTCTGTTAAGAAGTATTGTTTAATTATTACTGTAAGGCATAACAGAGAGGCCAGTTCAAAAAATGTGAAATCTGTAAAATAATCTTAACCACGCAGGTGCAGACCCACATCCAAAATAAAAATGCATGTCCTGACTTACTCTGATTGTCTTTGCACCACCTGGTAGCCAAAACCAGCAGCAGAGTTACTCAGGGTCTTCCAAGCCACGGGATCGATATTGAAACAAAGTGCAGCATTTAACACTGAGAAATGGTTTTTTTTTTAAAAAGCAGAAGAAAAAAAGAAAAAGAAAGAATGACATCAATAATCTTACTTAAGGTCATCTAATAATGTAATGATAGCCTTTCTCAATGTAATCACATTTAGGAAATTATACACAGTCTGTTTTATTTTCATACTATGTGTAGACTACCACTATAGCAGAGATGTCAAAGTCACTTCACACTAGGACCACATACAGCTCATAGTACAACTACACACTCCCTGAGATAGCTAAATATAAGAATAAAGAGTGCAATTTAAAGAGTATGTCTCAGTTTGTATATATGATAAAGAAATTTTGCTGTAGTTAATGAAGAACATCTTGTCAGCATGACCCTTTGGGTTTAAATTTTAGATAATCAATGTGTAAAACAACAAAGTTATATTAGATCATTGCAGACTGTCCTGTAATTATACAAGAGAACCTTTTATTAATTCACATAAATAATCCTTTCTTTGTTTTCTTTCACTGGACCCATTGTAATAAAAAAAAATAGAGATTTAGAGAAGATACTGAAAAAACAGGAACTTTTCTGTCATTTCATTGTTCATCTATTACTTATTTACTTTGGTGTGCTACAATTCTCTATCTTTATCAGGAGGAAATGCTGTAAAACCTATGAAAATATATTTAAAAGTCTTATTAAATTTATGCCCTTTTTCACTTGATCCAAAGCCATCCAGTGGGTCTTATTGGAGTCTTTGCCAGGCATATTTTAGCCCTCTGGCCTTATGTTTGACACCCCTGCACTACAGTGAATCTGTCATTACCACTACAGTGCTCTAAAACCAGATATTTTATAAAGCTAAAAAACATATTGAAGATTAAAATTTAAACCAGATTCTATCTTTTCTTCTTATATCTTCCTCCATTTAAAAAATACAGACATTTAAAGCTTTAAAGGATGAAAATCAATGCTTAACTCTACAATTAGTTTCAGGATATTCCACAGTATAAAAATAGACAACCTTTTGTATGCATGTGCTTACTTACAGCGCTAAAAAATAACATAGAATGGAGAATGCTGCTTGCGTGCACATTCTCCAGTCCTCCCTAACAGTCAGACTCATCAATACCTACCACACCCACATGCAAGTAAAGGAAATGAAGTCTCTGAGGGAAGTAAGTTTGATGTCACAAATGTACATCCCCAAAGAAGAAAATCTAAATCAGTAGCGTGCACTTTAGATAATAAAAACAGTATAGAGGCACGGAAATTGTATTGTTATATGGTTGCCATAAAGTGAAACTCTGATATTGTTGCAATACTACATAGCCCTTGTTCTATATAAGGCTAGACCTGAATTTTTGTGCCAATTATTTTTATGAAATAACTTACATTTATCACATTTCCTTTTTTTGGGTCATGCTATGAACAATCAATATATTTTTCTGTTCAATAATGAAATCTTAATTTGATACTTTTGCAAAAACCAAATGTATTTAGACATAGATATTTTATAATACTGACACCCTCTCAAGTTCCTCTTATCACCACTGTCTCTTTAGATTACTGTAATCTTTTGTAATTAAAGATTTTCAGTACATGGAGAGAATAAGTTGGAAGGAAGAATATGGTGTGTCGTGGTCGTAAAAAGTTTACAGTTTTGTGTCGCCCTGCATAAAACAAGGAGGAATATATAATGACTGCATAAACTACTAAATCATTTGGGTTCATAAATCCAGTTCTACAGGTTTTGTGGGGTTAATAATTAAGAATGTATTACTTCGTGAAATTTTCACACTGCATTTCTACGACAGACAACATCAAAACATTTTAGTTATAAATTTATTTTTAGAGTCAGAAGTTGACTGAACTCATGACACATTTCAGCAGGTAGTTTAATTCACAGAGGATAAAGTGCAAATAAGGAAAGGGCCATCACAAAAATATGTCAAGGTCATATGGTTTCACTTTATATTTTACCGTCAATTTATTTGTGGGTTTTTAATACTAAAAGAAATATTTTATAAATAGAAAAATGTGGCTGTGTATACTTACAGTCATTTTTCCACAGGTTGTACTCATTCATAATTAAAGAACTAAAGACAAAATCAGAAGGCACAAACTTGTCTTACCAGATGAAAATAGTGTAACACAAATTATCCAATCCATTGTGTTGCTTCCATGAAAAAACCCAGTCTGTTTGTTTTTTTAATTTGACTGATACAGTTGGTGAGGAATTACTTCTGCTCTGTGTCACAGGAGTTGTTTAATCCAAAATACAACAGTCATAGGATGACTGATGAAAGGAAAAGCAGGTAAGGTTTTCATGGGAGGAGCTACAGTATTGACAGCACTGTCTGTTTTATAAGACACGCTGCTGTGGTGGTGTTTAATTTTGATCCATTTGTTCAAGTATTTTTTTTCTAAGCGAAAAAATGTAAATCAATATAAACTGTTAATGATTAAATAAACTGAATCGCGTTTAGAAGATAAAATGCCTGTGTTCATGAGAAGCTTAGTATCACACTGGAGGGGAATGAAACACATGCTTTTTGTGAAAGGAGGGAAAATGTTAGGATTGAAAATGTTTGATTTCTTTTTGATTTCTTTTACTACAATACATGATTATAATCATTTTCATACACATTGCAAATGTGCTCATGAGATTTGGCACTCAGTCTTCTGACGGTCATAAGCTTCGTTCGGCGTGACTGTCCGGACTGATATATTGTAGGAAATGACTTAAATTGCAGAGGGGTAACTGCAAACACGCTTACACACAGATAATAATTAGACTAATTTTCCAGGTCAGAGGGTCCCGGATATGATATTCTAAACCAATTTTGAATCACTAGAAGAACAGTGGATAATAACATTAGATTATCTAGGCTAGGCAGAGAAGTGTTTGGTTTTTCCGTCTTTTACAGAGTTAGGAGCAGACACCAGATGAGGTCACGAAGATATCCTTCGCAGCAGACACCAAGACTGCCAAGACAGCAATTGGGGTCAAGGGTCATGCCGTTTGGGCTCCTGCTAGTCACCTCGAGAGGATCCCAGAACCACAGCAATAACCACGAAGTGGTTGGCGGAAATCCAGAGGGAGACCAAGGAGGGTCTGACCAAGAAAGGGGGACACTGCTGTGACCCCAAAAGAAACATGGATCCCGGCCAAGGGGCAAAATAAATCCCCTGATCTATGCAATGAACCGAAGGGTAGTCTAACCCCTAACGTTGAAGAAAGAAGAGGAAAAGAGTGCAGAGAATCGCCCGTCCCAGAAGGTAGCTGAAAGTAATGGGAGATCTGAGAATTAGCTTTAGTAATGGTCTGTGATTTGTGATTTTTATGTTATGACAGTTGCCCAAGCACAGCAATCATCCCATATATGGTCCACCCGTTAAAGGGGGACAGAGGGCCAAAGAGGGAAAAGAAGTATAGAGAACTGACACCTAGTGGGTAAAAATGGGGTGTGTGTAATGTCTGGAGAGATGTGCTGCACTTTCATTCCCAACAACACAACCCCAGATGGTTCTGTAACTAGAGCCCAGGGAAGACTCAGAACATCATTTAAGAAAATTAATAAATGCATGAATATTTGGAATTGATAATCCATTGGATGACGTCTGTCCTTGGGCAATGGAAGGGGTGTATTAGTACCATTAGGGTTTCCTTATTCGTTTTTACAGCTAGTTGGGTAATTTGTGGTGGTGTGCCTTCTATCTGAGGATTATTGGTAAGGTTGGTTAACAGAGCTGTTGGAGATCTGAAAACAACATGATGATGCTTGATGACTTTAGTAGTGTTGATCTGATCTGATCAGATCAAAGGAGGAACTGTTGGGATTAAATAATTTGCAGTGCCTCAATAATGCTATGCTTTTTTTATTAGTAAGTGTTATAAAGTTATATAGTGGAGTATTAACTGGACACAGCCCTGAAAAATAATGGCATGAGACCATGTGTCCTTGGGGAGTAGAAAGCTGCAGACTCTCGCTCATACTTGCCTGGGAAAATGTAGATAAGAGAGCACCATTTCTAGTGGAAAGTTACTGAGACACAGTTGTTTAGACTAGAATGAGAGAGCTTCTGTAATAAAACTGTCAGGGGCACATCACCATTTTGAGATCCGCGGCAACGTGTAATGCAGGACGCATCTCCCTTCTAGAAGTAATAAAGTGTTAAATTAAAGTTAAATGGTCTACTGAGCAGTGTTTTGTCTTCCATCGGATGCCTCTGAGGAATCAAAAGAACTCAGTGAAGTGTTGATATTTACAAAGCTCTTGTAAAAAGATTGGTTATTGCATTATTTTATACAATCATATGAAATAACTGGATTCACAAATAAAATAGAAAAATAAAACTTTAATTTCTGTTCGCAGACTTGAAGCCACATATTTTGCTGAGACATTGGCTTTACTCAGTTACTGACTTTTGTTTTCAGATGGATCTACTTTAAATTAAAAAATGGGGATTGCTGTTTCACGTTATCTTCTAGTTTAAGATCTAAACAAACTCCATCTAACAATAATTCATTTATGCGCCTTGCCTTAGAGTATTTGTTGCTGCATTTAGTTAATTCTAGTTGGGGTTTGTTTGGTAGTCTTTGTCTCTTGTTCATTGTATTTACTTTCACTTCCCTTGTCTAATTTTGTAGTATTAGTTACAGCTGAATTCCCCAAATATTTCCTCTTTCATCACTTCTAGTATTTATCTTGGTTTCCCCTTGTCTCATTCACTTGCTTTACTCCTGGTTTGTTTGTTTTTTTTGCTTTGTCTCCATTTGGGATTCAAAAGCAATAAAACCTTGCCTTTTATTTGCTGCAATTTCCTTCAACACTTTAGCACAGAGGGTATAAGCACTGTCAGCAGATGTGGAGAGACAGCTGGATTTGGACATGAACAGGTGCTCCTTGTATTCAGTTGAGTGGGATGAGTCTGTGGACTGAGGTTTTGACATTACTGTCACTGAAAACCACCACCAAGGGAGTTGACATTTACAATGCAGTGAAGTGGTACTCTTTGGAAAAAAAGAAAAAAATCAACTTGGGATTTATTGAACATTGCAAAGCGAACCCAGACTTTCCTAAAGTACTGAAACAGATAAACATTTAAATGCCTTCATTGACGTGAACCTCAGTGGAAACATTTCTGCATAAAGCTCTCAGGTTGAATCTATGCAGTGCCGCTGACAGAAACTGTGCAACTCATTAGCATTAATAAAAGATGGTGGATTTATGAGCTCAGAAATCTGCACTGTTTGTTGTTAATTTGTTTTGATAAATTGTGGATTTAGAGAAGTTCAAGTCCTCCAAATATGTTGGATCACATGCCGTTGAAATTTATTTGATTATTTGAGTTTTACACATTTTTTGAAGTGTTGCTCAGGAGTACAGTACAGCATAACTATGCTGTTTATTTTTTGTGCATGTTCTCTATATGTTCATGTTCATTTCCACCATTTTGAAGTACAATGAGTAAAACATTCAGATATTTGTGAATGGCAGTTCTTACACACAATATGTGCTCTTGGTTAACATGTTTATATGTATATATATATATATATATATATGTGTGTGTATAGATAGATAGATAGATAGATAGATATATATGTATATAGATAGATAGATATATATATAAAATGAGCATTCACTTGCTTTTAGAAATTGGCTA